TGCAGCGGTTTACCTGCAGAGCTGCAGCGGTTTACCTGCAGAGCTGCAGCAGTTTACCTGCAGAGCTGCAGCAGTTTGCCTGCAGAGCTGCAGCAGTTTACCTGCAGAGCTGCAGTTTTGCAGTCATTTCAATAATGAGTTAACATCTTTTGTTTCGTGTTAATCTGCTGTAATAAACTTTTGTAAAATACACCAGAATGCAGGAAATGGCATCTACTTTATCCAAAATTCTCTGGGGTAGGACCCTCAGACCTGCTGCTCAATAATACAGCTGGAAACATCCAGCCAAGTTCAGTCAGGTCCTCTGGACAGATGCAAAAAAGAAAATAAATTATATAATTTTTTTTTTCTTTGCATCCGTCCAGAGAACCTGACTGAACTTTGTTAGACCTCTTGCTCCAATTCATGAATGCTGAGTATAAATTAAATATTGAAAACTATGTTTCTCCCTCCGACACTGAACTCTTCCCATCAGACAGACATCCATGAGGTGTTTTAGCATCATCGCTGCAGCTGCTGTCTGCTCAGAAAACATCTGGCCTCTCAATAGATTCTGCTCGCGGCCCATTTTCCTCCAAACTTCTTTGTGCATCAGTTTATTTCTTTTAATATAGAGGTCAATGATCAATTGCCCTTAAGGACACCCTGGTCCGTGATCAATAACGTTCTATGTCGTCAAACTGTCAGTGAATAAAATAAAAAAGGCACTTGCTGTTGGTTTCAGCAGCATGTTTTGCTTCAGTTCATCTGCAAAGCGACTCGTTCTGTTGGTTCTGCAGACCAAGAACTTCAGGGTCAACAAGGACTCCCACTCAGGATACTTATGACTAGTCGTAGCTCAGTCACATTCAGACAGCCATCTACTGCAGGTAACATATTGACACTTCACAATATATGCAGAATCCCTTTAAGCACACTGACCTGCAAAGTCTTGAGCCAGTGCACGTGAATAATTGAGCACCATGCCGAGGAGTTCCTCAGGGGTGTAGAGTTCAGCTCTGTGAGGAAACAAAAGTGACAGGATCTTCATCAAACAGAACTACAGGAAGTCAGACTGCTGAACTCACAGCGTGACTTCACTTCATGCAACCAGGAAATACACATTTTCATTATATTTTGTCTCCAGTTTAAAATATGAACCAGTCGGATCATTCTGTGATTGTAACTAATATTAAAGAGTAGTTTACTCTGGAAGCTCCTGTTTTCTCACAGTCCAACAATGTGCAAGTTAACACAGAAACATTTTGAAGTTAGAGCTTTTAGCCAGCTACGTTGAGCTAAACGCTTGCCCAGATCCCCATGACAACAAAGTTCAGAGGTCAGTCAGTACACATCTGTCCGTGGCCGACACCGATCATCAGACATCGATGGACAACAACCACTTTTTAACTTTCCACCAATATGAATTGATCTTTGTTTAATCCAACGAGTGCTCATAAAGAAACCTATAATTACAGACCCTCAGAAGAACCTAAACACCTAGATGTACACAAGAGCTTCCTGGCTTACAAAAAATAAAATCAATTCATTAATAATAATAATAATAAAAATACTAGTACTAATAAGTGGCTGCTGGCTGCAGCTTCTTCATTTTCCTACTTAATTCATGAAGTATGCAGAGTTACGACTGATTGCAGAATTTTACCCCTCCAGGACCTCCACTGAGTGGTCCTGAAGCTCCTCCAGGACCACTCAGTGGAGGTCTTGAAGCTCC